TTCCTGCCCCATATCAGAGGCAGCCCCACACACCCCATGGCCTGGGCTGTCTTCCCAAAACCACACTTGCCCCCCCCCACCAGAGTACCCTCCCTGCTTCCTGAGTCTGTTCCCTTGGGCCCCACCTCCTTTCCTCCTCCTCGGCTCCCCCCCTGCGCTTGGATTCCTGCCCCATATCAGAGGCAGCCCCACACACCCCATGGCCTGGGCTGTCTTCCCAAAACCACACTTGCCCCCCCCCACCAGAGTACCCTCCCTGCTTCCTGAGTCTGTTCCCTTGGGCCCCACCTCCTTTCCTCCTCCTCGGCTCCCCCCCTGCGCTTGGAGACTCAGGACTCAGATTCCCTCCCCAGGCCCCCAGACTTGCTACAGCAACCGCAGTCTGCCTCTTTGTGGCGGCGCTCAGCCATTCCCTGACACTGGCACCCCGTCCGGATATAAGGATGAGGCCAGGGAGCATCAGGCCAAGAGGAACCTTTGCAAGGGCTTTCCTAGCACCTTCCCAGCTCGGGATGCTCTGCCAGGCTGCAGCGCCCTCCCTGTGCCCCAGCTGAGCAGAATCGTGGAGCCTCCCCCAACCCAGCACAGGTGAATTATGTTTAGTTGAGCAGCTCTGTTCTGGTGCGTGGCTGTCAAACCCGCCTTGTGGGGCCCTGTACTCATCTCAGTGACACAAAAGCCTCGTATGCCCCAGGAACATGCTTGAAGACTTCCCAGCCTTGTAGCACCACCAGCAAGAATGATTTGGCTGGCCACAGCCTGACCTATGTGCAGACCACACCCCATCTGTCCTGTGACCTTCCCCTTCCTCACCTTTGAGTCCTGCCCCTGGGTGAGTCCCACACAACCCTAACCCCTTTGCCTTCATTAGTTTGCCCAAGTGTAACCAAGAGCCCTTGGGCAGAGCTAACCATCCTGCTGATGATGTGTGAGCCAGATTAGCAGCTGGTTCTCTGACCCATCACTGGGCTGAATCTATGGGGCAAACCAGAAGTTTTGTTTCCCTGAGAAATGGGAGTTCTGACTGTTTCTCCAAGGGGCATTCTGTGCAGCACAAAAGGGCTTTTATGCTACAGGTACTTCTTGCTGCTAACTGCAACTCTGTCCCCTCCCTTCTGTGACTCCAGGCATTGGGAGCATATGGCCCTGGTAGCCTCATATCCCCTTGCAGCAGCTGTACGTGAAAGTTCCTTTTAGTGTGAGCAGACCTCTGAGAGTGCTTTTATAGGGGAGGGAAACTGAGTCCAGGCTGGGAGAGATGTATAGCTTGTTATCTTAGGGGTTTGCCTAAGCTTATCAGTTAATCGTATAGTCCACTACAAGTTGACATCCCTACTTATTCCAAGAAGAAAATGGTAGCATTAGGTCCCACAATCCATTGAGTCATAAATATGTGTCTGTGAAGCATTTACCCTCCTTTCTCTCCCACCTTGTTTCATTTCCTTTCTTTTTTAAAATGTCTCTCTCTGGTTAATATGTTTAGGGTGTGTTGCTTAAGTGTGTGGGACATGGGGGATGGTGGAGGAGATGAACCGTAGAAGTGAGAGCCCTGGGCTGTATCTACATTGGCCCCTATTCCGTAATAGGGATGCAA